GCTTGCACAAAGCAGGGTGAATCAATTGCCGCGGCCGCACTTCTTAGGGTTTAGGGTTTAAGGTTCCGGGTTTAGGGTTTAGGGTTTCGAGTTTAAGGTTTAGGGTTTCGGGTCTAGGGTTTAGGGTTTAGGGTGTAGGGTTTAGGGTTTAGGGTCTACGGCCAGGAGACCAGGTGAGCATCATGTCTTCGACCAGGTTCCGGCGGTACTTCTGCCACCCTGCGCCAGCGACGAGGTGCGGCTTAGGGTTTAGGGTTTAGGGTTTAGGGTTTAGGGTTTAGGGTTTAGGGTTTAGGGTTTGGAGCTTAAGGTTTGCTGTAATAGGGCGTAGATGCTGTGAAGGTTAGGATGCAGCAGAGGCTCGAATGCCTCATCAGAGAGCACAGCTCTGGCCCGATTGTGGAAGGCCATGTAATACTTTCCTCCCACCCCACGCCGTCCGAGGCGGCAAAACCACCCAAACCTATTCCTTTTAGGGTTTCGGCCTAAACTCATGACAATCGCTTACTTGTGGGGCTGAAAGATAATTCCGTGTTCCGAGATTAAGGGCCCATACTTCGGACGCTTCTAAACACAAGGCTTAGGGGTCGTGCTAGGGGCCCGTGATTCCAGCCTTAGAGATCAGAAAGCTTCAAACCCTAAACCCTAAACCCTAAACCCTAACCCCTAAACCCTAAACCCTAAACCCTAAGGGCTCAAGGGAGCCTGAAAGTGACAGGAACACCCGGCAGAGGCCATAGCGTGAGCACCGGTCCGATACTCCTTACTTGACGCTAAGGCAGCGGTTGAGGGTTAGGTCTAGGGTTTAGGGTTTCGGGTTTAAGGGGCTTAGAGGGTTTAGGGAGCAAAACGAAACACTTCTGAGGTTTTAAGACACATTGAAAACTAAACCCACATACCGACAGATGCGGTGCTACTAGGGTTTAGGGTAGTTTAGGGACTGAAACTGCAAGAAAATCTTGCTTGTTTGTACTCGTTTCTACATAAACCGAACCTATGGTTTCCATAGTAGGCCTTTGTTTGTTGACCAGATCTACAGTTAATCTCCTAGAATCTCAAGCTGCTTAACCCAAAAAGAAACCGCAATGGAGACTATAGGTAAACCCTAAACCGCTGACAGTAAAACGCCGACAGACCTATCCCCCAAAGCCTAAACCCTAAACCCTAAACCCTAAACCCTAAACCCTAAACACTCCTAGGCTCAAGAGCAAAGATGCCGTAGCACTGGCTCCGATCGCGAAGCCTTCCTTGTGCCCAATCGATGGGCTCTTCATGTCCACCTCTGCATGGCTGCTCCGGAGCTTTCTAGGCGTGTGAGGTCTAGGGTCCAGGGTTTATGTCTGTAAGGGGTTTAGGGTTGAGGGTTACAGTACTTTTTCGGGTTTAGGGTTGAGGGTTTAGGGTCTGTATAGGGTCTGCGGTTGAGGGTCTAGGGTTTCGGGTTTAGGGTCTCGCCGCTAATTTGGGCGTCTTGATTTTTACCCCATGATATACACTCGATGCGTATATATATATCTATGTATAAAAAGAGGTTGTACAAGGTTTGATGGTCAGGGAGCCAAGAGCTAGAGTCAGGAGCGGCGTCAGCGGGACGGCTAGCAAGTCAGGGGCAGGGAGGGCCGGGGCCTGGAGGAGGGCCGGGGGGGCTAGGGGCCAGGGGCGGACACAGGGTGGGCCAGGGGTCCGCCTGCTCCTGGCCTGGGGGCCTTGGCATACCACCCCCCAAAACGGTCAGCCACCTCCAGAACAAAGACCTTGAAGTTTAGGTGCTCACTTTATGAAGGGGACCAGTAGTCCCGGCATGAACCTGTTCCGGTACCGGCCCATGCTGGGGCGCTACGGACGAGGCGGGCAAGCGAACTGGGTCGACTTTCGCCATAGAGGTCGGAGGGCTCAAGCGCCGCCCCCCCTCTGTCGGGGACGGCCTAGGCCGTAAGTTTAGGGTTTAGGGTCTAGGGTTTAGGGTTGAGAGATTAGGTGTAGGGTGTCGGGCCTCCAAGACCTCACTTTGCTACCCCCACCTTCTCACAGCCCCCGAAATCCTCCGGAGATCTCAAAAAACATTATCCGAAGGGTCGCACCCGAAGGGTCGCACCGTCTGGTTCGTCAGGCTTTGAACCTTTTGAGGGTAGCTAATCTAAGACATATTCAACCCTAAACCCTAAACACGCCCCTTAAGGGGCATGGTCAAAGCTTTCCTTCTTTTCTCCTCTTATAGGTGAAGGGGTATGGGTTAGGGGTATGAGCTTAGGGTCTAAGGTTTAGGGTTTGGGGTATGGGTTTGGGGTATGTTGAAGCATGCTTAGAACTAACCTGATGTAACGGACCCATATTGAAAAAGAAGCGGCCACCATGAGGTCTGCATTCTTACACGGTCTTCTCGTCGGGTTTGGAAGACCCGAATCTTGATCACAGTATTGTGATGTTTAGGGCTTAGAGTTTAGGTGTCCCCTAATTCGACAGCTCCGTAGTATGATTGGATGCTTCACTCCTCGTAGTGGAGTGCCGCCCTCAATGAGCTCTTTGACTTGGTAGAAGGCGGGGTAGAGCAAGAAGGTGTGGTGCCTCGGAGGAAAAAGCTTCCCCAAACAGGGCTTCAGGGTTTAGGCTTTAGGGGTTTAGGAGTTTAGGGGTTAGAGGGGTTTAGGGGTTTCGGGGATTAGGGTTCCCAGGGAAGCTACAGGGTCCCGTAAAATGGTCCCTTACCTTCTTGAGAAAGTTCTGAGGTATGCGCCCTTGGGTTTATACTTGGGTTTAGGGTTTAGGGTTTAGGGTTTCGGGTTTAGGGTTTACGGTTTAGGGTTTTTAAGGAGTATATAAAGGGTCCCCATTTAAGGGGGGACCACGAAACTACCCCGTTCAAGAAAACAACCATCTCAATGCAGAAAGCTACTGGCTCAAAGGCTTCAAGCTTTGGCTAAAACCCGAAACCCTACATAAACCCTAAACCCTAAACCCTAAACCCTGAACCCTGTTTGGGGACTTTGGGGCTAAACCCTCAACGGGCCCAGTCTGTTGGTAACCGGAATCCCTTGAGGGTTTGGAACTCAACGGTTCAGGGCTTAGAGTTATTTAGGGCTTTAGGTTCTGGGTTCAGGATTCAGGGCTTATCGTTTAGGGTTTAGGGTTTAAGGTTCAAGGTTTCAGGGGTGTTGAGTCTCAGGTTCGGGGTTTAGGGTTTGAGTATCTAAGGGGACCCCGTGGCTCCCAAGACCACGCACTCAAGGAATGCACCGTACCTCAGACCTCAATCGGGATCCTAAGGGGTTTAGGGTTTAGGGTTTGTTGTTTTGACAGTGAGTCAGACTTTCCGTCCACCCCTTACGAGGCGCTCACTGAGCGGGTTTCCCTGGACCTAGAGTCTAGAAATCTGAGAAACCCCTTACGAGGCGCTCACTGAGCGGGTTTCCCTGGACCTAGGGTCTAGAAAGCCGAGAGCGCAACACAAACTGATCCAAGAAGACCTGCACTCTGACATTGAGGGTTCTCCCCCCCACACTACCAGTCCATAATTGGGATTATAGTACCCCTATGATAATTCCCATTTGACACTGTTAGTCTACGGGGGAGCATCCCCAGTTGGAGGTCTCAAAGTTAGAGTTTAGGGCCTAGGGGGTTTCACGTGCGGTTGGGCTCTGCTTGGAGGTTAAGTCTGACCGTACTTAGAACTGTACATATAACCATATTAGAGCACCTAAGGGGGGCTTATGTTATATTAAGGCACCTAAGGGGCTCATATTAAAGGGGCACCTAAGGGGCTTATAAGTGGGTTATAGGTACAGATACAATTCGTGAATAAGTACCATGAACCTCCAAGTAGGGCTTTCTGCAAGGCTGGCCCGCAACCCTGAGCCCCCAGATCTCCAGAACCCTGAACCCAAAAACCCTAAACCCTAGACCCCAAACCACAAGCTTTAAACCCTGAACCCTAAACCCTAAAACCCTCAAACCCTCAAACCCTAAAACCCTAAAGCCCTGAACCCTAAGACCCTAAAACCATAAAACGGTTTAGGGTTGAGGGTTGAGGGTTGGGGGTTTTGGGATTCTTGGAGGTTCGTGGCACTTCTTAACCAATTATAGCTGTACCTACAGCCCGCTTAGAAGCCCCGTCAGTGCCCTGACATGGTTCTGAGTACAGTTATACGTACAGCTATAATTGGTGCATAAGTACCATGAACCTCCAAGTAAAGGGATCTAGTTTGCCTTGTCGATTTAGGGTTTGCGTTGAAGGTTGGGTCAAGGGCAGTTTCAGGCGGGTAGTTTCTATTCATAGAAGCCCCTTATAAACAGTATAGGGTTTGTATAAGCCTCTTATAGGCCTCTTATAAGGGAAACTATCCACCTGAAGCTGCCCAATCAAGTTGGGGTTTTAGGTTTTTAGGGTTTTATACTTTTGTGATGCCTTAGAGTACGCCTCTTGTGGCCTGAAAGAAGGGAACCCAAATCAAGTCCCAAAACCACAGGGTACCTGAAGCCCTAAACCCTCAACCCCAAACCCTAAACGCCAAGTCCTAAACCCCAGCCAAACCCTAAACCCTAAACCCTAAACCCCAAACAAAAACCCTAGACCCTACACTCTAAACCCTACAAACCCTACAGAGTCTATTCAAGGGTGCTAAGCTCAGGGGGTTTATGGCGCAGGGGTGCAGCGTCGCGAGGGCAGCCAAGACGCCAGCGCCGTGCAAAGAGGTGCTTTCAGAAACTCTCCATTTTCTCAGGCTTCGGAGCCGCCGCCCGCGGAACCCCGGGCCCTGGACCCTGAATTCTCCACCCTAAGCCCTAGAAACTTCTCTAGACAACGGCAAACTCTTTTGTAAGGACTCCAGACGAACACAAGGATCCTAGTCGAAACGACCCCGCCACCCTAATCCCCTAGCCCTGCCCCTGACACGATGACTGCTTCTCTACCCCCGCCATGTTCTGCCTCACGACGGACGCATTCCATGCTCCAGACTTCTCCTTGGCCGGGCCGCGTGCTACGTACCGCAAAGAGTGCTGTGCTACCTAGCACGTGAGACACCTGTCGGCGACTTGCCGCGCAAAAGTGACGTTTCGGCCGCGGCTTGTCGCAGTAGCTTGGCGAGAACATCCCTACGTAAAGAGGGCGACAACCGCACCCTGTCAACCAGCCAGCGCAGCGCAGGACCGGACAATGCTTGGAACTCCGCACGCAAATCCAGGTAGAAGACCCATTGTAGCAACTCTTGCAACCGCACCGTCTCCAGCTGGAAAACTCGGACAACGTGCTGGCGTTGAACGGATACCCAGGCTATTCCACCGACTTCCGGCTCGCATGCTTGGGCGTGCCGGCGCTCCGTCGCCAAAAACACACGCCAGGTGCAGGACAGCATCTGAACGATATATAGATCCCATTGACCGGGAAGATCAGCCTCCAGCAGCTCGCGCATACGGCGCCAAACGTCTACCGTGCGGCAATTCACGGTAACGTCGCCTGTCGACTTGCGCTCGAGTGCACAATGGAAGGCCAGAGGCGACGGGCCGAAGAACATATACGTCTTGCGTAGATGCCAGAGGACTTGACACCGTGCGCAGTCGCACCGCCCGCTGGGCAACCGCTGCCCACGCTGGCAGAGAAGCGTCGCGATCAAATAATATAAGTCCGACAAAAGAAACTTGCCGTGGTAGCAATGATAGCATTGTGCTGGGGATAAATCTTGCCGAACTGTCGGGCGACCCAGCAAATCAAGACCAAGAAAACCGACCACCACTGCTTCCATGCTACGTGCGAGCAAGTCCACGTCTACCACTCCGGTGGCTACCGTGTCCAGAAGTTGCGCCAACACTGGCCCCAAGGTGACAGCATGACAGGACCATGGCTGCAGGGCTGCCACCATGTTGTCAAAAAAACGAGAATCAGGACAGACACTTTCCGCCACTACCCTGGGAGCCTTGTCTTGCCCGCTACGCCGAGCCGTGGAAGCATACGTGCGTCTGCGCCCATCACGTGTGGCGAAAGCAGCGCGCACTGTCGTGCGCATGCCGGCTTGTCGAACGAAGGCACTACGAAGGAATTCGGCCACTGCCACTGCATTCTCGCAACATAGTCCCGCTGCCATAATTGCGCGCAAGCCAGGTAACGTGTCGTCGTTGAATAAAAAGTGCTCCACAATGGCGGCTTCCCCTGCGTACCTGAATATGGACTCCAGCAACAGCCAGGCAGACAGCTTCGGCGCACTCCACTGACGATCTTTGCCAAACACGCGCTTGTACATCTGCGCCGCAAACCGTGGCCGAGCACGACTAAAGGTATCCAAGGCAGGGAAGACGCCAGCTGCCAGACCTGACGAAACCAAATGCCGATGCAACGGCAAAGCTTCGGAAAAGGCGCCTTGCAACTGCTGCCGTGTAGACTGGCTAAAAAAATCTGGACCCTGCATGCTCGCCAGCAGCAGGACAAAATACACAAACGCGTGCCAAAGCAACGGGTCCGCAAAGCCCAATGTTTCCGCCCAACGGCTTGCCATTGATCTGTAAGCAGCCGGCAGCTGTGAAGCATGCTTTCTATACTCCGGGGCTGCGAAACTCAGGCCTCTTGACATGCAGTGCCCAGACTCGACGTCATCCTCGCTACCTGACTCCGAGCCGCTTGCAGGTGCAGTGGCTGCTTCAACAGCATCATGGACCACTGGAGCCGGAACTGCACACTCTTTGCGCGGGCGTCCGCGACCGTCGATGCCTCCACAAGCCACGCAACAGATGTCTCCAGCTGCGTTGCGCGCAGTGGTTTGCTTACGTTTGCAAGAGGTACAAGCAGAGCCGACCATGTTGGGAGGTTGACTGTTGAGTTAAAGGGGTTTCGGATTGCGGGTGTACTGGTAACGACTAAGCTTGTAAGGCTTGGGATGCTCAAGGTCGTGTGGGCTTTTTCTACGATCTTGTGAAGGGCTCGTTGAGGGTTGTAGGTTTTAGAGGTCTTTGGGTTTCAGGATTTAGGGTTTAGGGTTCAGGGTTTGAAGGCCGGGCTTGTCTTTCTTTTTCCTGAGAAAGGAATGCCCTGTGTCTCTACAGCCTACAGCTTAGGAAGCCTTTGGGGAGTTGAGGCTTGCAAGGTTGGGCTACCTAATGTGTTTGCCGCCAGGTACGCGCAGTTGCCGAAGCTGTGAACGTCCGACGCTTCAAGGCTCAGGGGGTTGAGGTAGGCCCTTTGTACATGTGTGCACTGAATTCGACTTCAAAGCTTCGGGTGTAGGGTTTAGGGCCTAGGTGTAACCGACCACGTGGATCTTTCTCTTCGGCCGAGGCCGTCGCCCTGCTTTGCCGGAGGCGCGGGCTTCGACCACATGTCGATGCCGCAATCTGCCAGAGCCTGTCAAACTTCGCGGCTTGTGCCAGGAGACCCTAAACCCTAAACCAAAAACCCTAAACTAACCCCCAGTAAGCCCAAAGCCCTGACACCAGCCACAAGCTCAAAGACCGTCAGCCAACCACTTCGAAAAACACGCCTGCAAGGACATCTGACAAAAGAGGAGGATGGCAGCACACCTGGGCCAGCGCCTGACTGGGACAATGCGCCCAATCGCGCGCCTTTCGCGCACCTTTCGCGGACCTTTCGCGCTTTCGCGCGTTGTCTCGACATGGCGTCACCCAATAGAACACTACATCACGTTCATCTCGGTCTTACATACTTTCACACAGCTGCTTGCTGACAGGACAAACACCCTTCACAAAGTGGTCCTTCTTGAGAACCCCCACTCACGAAGCTCTGAACCTCACAAGGCAACACCTTACCAGCGTGCCTCTGTGCGTTTACCGAGGGCTTGGGAACGCACACAGACACTATTGGCTCTTCTGGGCTGATTGCTTGTGACTCCCCCACAAGCTGCAGGACTCTCTTCTTTTCTTTCTCTGCATGTCCGCATCGGCCCGGAGCCAGCATTTGTCTCCTGGCACAAGTCAAAACCGTACAAGATTTCGCTAGACCCTAACTCTACATCTCCCAGGCAGAGTGCGTTTAGGCGCGCCCTAAGCCCTAAACTGTAACCCTAAACCCTAAACCCTGAACCCTAAACCCTGAACCCTAAACCCTAAACCCTCAACCCTAAATCCGCCAGACTCCGAGTGCAGGCGTCAGGATCCCGGGGAGCGCTTGCGGAACAGCTCGGGATCAGTTGCTGCAGGTCGTCGTTCTCCAAGAACTCTTGCCATCCTCAGGGTTTAGGGTTTAGGGTTTGGGCTTTAGGGTTTAGGGGTTTATGTAGGGCTTCGAGGGCTGATAGGGTTCATAAAGGGCTTAAGGGCTTATGGACGCTTATAGAGTTTATAGGGTTCAAGGGGCTTCTGGGGTGTTTATATAGCGCTTATAGGGTTTTCAAAGGGCTTAGAGGGTTTCTAGGGTTAGGCAGGGTTTCTGGGCTTTGAGGTTTATAGAATGCCTACACCCTCCCCCCTGCCCTTCGGCCCTCGGTTCTCGCTGGCCGTTCGGCCTCAGGCGCAGGGGGAGGGGGGGCCGCAGGGAACCTTTAGGGTTTAGGATTTGGTTTAGAGCTTATAGGTTTATGTAGGGCTTATAAGGGTTACAGGGTTTATGTAGGGCTTATAGGGGGTTTATAGGGTTCAAGGGGCTTCTAGGGTTTTTATATAGCGCTTATAGGGTTTACAAAGGGTTTCTAGTCTTAGAAAGGGTTTCTGGGCTTTGTGCCTACGCCCTCCCCCCTGCCCTTCGGCCCTCGGTTCTCGCTGGCCGTTCGGCCTCAGGCGCAGGGGGAGGGATTGAGGATTTCAAGTGTAACGGTTTCATTAGGGTTTCGGGCTTAGGGTTTCGGGTTTAAGGTTTGGATACAACCCTCAAGTCTTTAGGGCCGAGGGTCTAGGGCTTCGGCCTTTAGGTTTAGGGTTTAAGGTTTAGGCATAAAACCCTCTCTGTTGCCCCTAAATCCTAAACCCTCAGGGTTCAGGTTAAAGGCCTTGCTTGGGGTACTTACTGAAAGGGTTTTTGGAAGCGCTGGGCCCTAAAGCCTACGCCCTCCCCCCCCGCCCTGCGGCCCTCTGTTCCAGTCTGAAGCCACTAAAGCCTGGTCCTGAAACGCACTCCCCTAAACCCTAAGCCCTAAGCCCTAAGCCCTAAACCCTAAACCCTAAACCCTTTTGCCTAAACCCTAAACCCTAAACCCTAAACCCTAAACCCTAAACCCTAAACCCTAAACCCTAAACCCTAAACCCTAAACCCTAAGCCCTAAGCCCTAAACCCTAACCCGAGACCCTAAACCCCAAACCCAAGTTGCCAATGGGAAGGCTTCGCGACGGCAGGCTCCCCCGAATGAGGCTGCTGCCTTCCCTGAGCTTCTGGACTTCGAGCTGTTACACGTTGGAAGCACAGCTGGGCCAATACCTACACAGGGTGCGTCGCAGTTTTTTCGCGGGCGGGGGGGGGGCTAAGACCCGAAACCCTGCAAACCCTCCAAACCCGCTTAACCCCATGCTGGCCTGCTCGCCGGGAGCTGCCACGTTGCCCGCGGGCGAGGAGAACAAGACCCTATCTAACTGAGCCACGTCAACATGCGCAAGTTCGGATATGCCATGCTTCAGGGTTAAAGGTTGAGTGCTTGTCTCTCTTACTTGGCAATTGTGTTTTTTCCACCAAGCTGCCATGTCGTGCCAGCTTGAAAGTTGCCCCTCCCCGGACAGTGCCCGTGATGGGACTGAAAAGGCTGTTGGCCACGCTGCCAAAAGCACCCACTAAGCAACCCCTGTGACACAACTGCGTCTACTGGATCTTCAGGTGTTTAGCAGTACGAACCCCAAATAGGCTGAAACCTGCCGTGCGTTTAGGCGCGGTCCCTAAACGCACCCGCTTGAGGTTTGAGGCTTAAGGGGCAGGATATTCTAGCAGTATGAACCCCAAATAGGCTGAAACCTGCACCACGGGTGCGTTTAGGGGCGCTCCCTAAACGCACTCGCTTGGGGTTTAAGGGTTAAGGGGCATGATATTCTATTAACCAGATTATCCCTTTCGCGGCGCCTTCCGCCGCGCATTCGCGGGCCTTTCGCGGATACTAAAAAACAAGCAGAAATCTATCTAAAATATTCGCCAGTAAAAAAAAAAGACAGGGGTTTGCGGATAACGCCCATATACATATGTTACATATTGCATCTTGCGTGCCGGAACCCCCCCCCCCCTTCCCAGCCAAGTACACCGATACGCGTTTTCCCCCCCCCCCCCTCTCCAATACGCCGATACGCTAACCCCCCCCTCCCGGAAAGTACGCCGCTAAGCCGATACGCCGCTTCCCCCCCCTCCCCCGAAATTGTACGCCGTTCGCCCCCCCCCCCCCTCAAAGCCTCTGGGAAATATGCCCATGCGCCGATAAGCCGTTCTCCTCCCCCCCCCTGCCTTCCCCTCGAAATACACCAATACGCCGAGTCCCCCCCCCCCCCCCCCGACATACGCCGATACGCGACCCCTGCGGGGGCTTCCATCAGCAAGATTCCACGAGGAACAGGCGCAGGGAATACACAAGCACCCCTGACACCCGAAGCCGTCCAAAGCGCAAGCCCGGACGGCCTCGTGTTCACGTGACATCCTGCCGACGGAACCCTGCAGACCCCCCTCCACCCTGCCCCCTAGCCCTGGACCCTACACCCCGCACCGTCCGCCCGGCTGTGCTTCCCCTGTTGGGGGTCGGCGGCACTGGCGGTAGCCATTAAATGTGTATATATATATATATATGTATCATATATCATATAGATCTATATACATATCAATATAGCAAAATATTTATGCATTGGCGAAATTTGAAGCTAGCGTCTGGACGTCGCCCCACATCCGAAAGTTGCCAGATGGACATGAAGCACTGCAGTGCCTCAGAGGGGGTGTAGGGTTTAGGGTTTAGGGTTCATTGTTTAGGGTTTAGGGTTCAGGGTTCAGGGTTCAAGGTTTAGGTCCCCCACAACACTCGAAGCACTCAATGCTCTACTCCACTCTAAACCGAGATCGGGGCCGACGGTCGTGCCGAGGGCTTCTTTGCCAGCATTCCTGCAAAAATCCGCAGACTGGGCTGCCGGTGACTACTTCCGGACCCGAGTTCCCTGAACCCGAAACCCGAAACCCTAAACCTTAAACCTTAAACCCTAAACCCTAAACCCTAAACCCCGGATGTCATGCTGGAGTCCTTTCAAGCACCATTGCACCCTGGGATCGCTACATTCCGGGCAAGAGGTCGCCAGCTCGACATCGCATCTGAGCGAGTTGGCAAGGATCTCCTGCCGCTGCAAAAAAAGATCAGGGTTTAGGGTTTAGGGTTTAGGGTTTAGGGTTTAGGGTTTAGGGTTTCGGGTTTCGGGTTTAGGGTTTAGGGTTTAGGGTTTAGCGTTTCGGGTTTAGGGTTTAGGGTTTAGGGTTTCGGGTTTCGGGTTTCGGGTTTAGGGTTTAGGGTTTGGGGTTTGGGATTCACGGTCTAGGTTTGGAGTCCATTCTAGTTTCAAGGAGCAACGACAGTTCTTCGGCCTTCGTGTTCGCACCGGGAAACGGCAATCGCCCCGAGAGCAATGTGTACCTTGGCTGCGAAACCCCAAGCCGTGCAGAATCGCATAGAAAAAACAACAAAAAACAACGCAAAGCTTCTTGCCTCTGTGTTGCCATAAAGCACCAGCGCCGAAAACATCCACTTTCTCGCAATGAGGTCGCAGCTCAATTATTTCAGGAGCCACGTATCCTGTCCGCTTTTATGTTTTGTAGAGAGCATGCTAAGCTATGCCAGGGGTACATGCAACCCGAAACCCCAAACCCCAAACCCTAAACCCTAAACCCCAAACCCTAAACCCCAAACCCCTAAACCCCAAACCCTAAACCCCAAACCCTAAACCCTAAACCCCAAACCCCAAAACCCTAAAACCTTCAGAAGAAAGAGTCCTGGGGAGCCACCACTGCGCCGCAGGGCAGCAGGATCGTCTAAGGATGCGGCGATGCTGAAGTCCACCAGCATCGGGCAGTGGTCTGCATGCAGGACGACATTCTCCTCGGTGGCTTTCAGGGCCCTAAACCCTGAACCCTAAACCCTAAACCCTAAACCCTAAACCCTAAACCCTAAACCCTAAACCCGGAGAATCTCTGAGATCACAGCAAGTCTCGGGCTTGACATCCCGATGCACGATGCGCCGGCTGTGCAGGAAAGCCAGCGCCGACATCACGCCGACCATGATTTCGACCCCTCTGGACTGTGGAAGCGCCTTAGGGTTTAGGGTTTAGGGTTTAGGGTTTAGGGTTTAGGGTCTAGGGTCTAGGGTTTAGGGTTTAGGGTTTAGGGTTTAGGGTTTAGGGTTTAGGGTCTAGGGTTTAGGGTTTAGGGTTTAGGGTTTAGGGTTTAGGGTTTAGGGTTTAGGGTAAGTCAGAAATCACATCGCGGCTCGCAGGAGCAACCTCGAAGACGCACCCTTTTCCATGACGAGCGTCGCCGCGCGCCAGTCGGGCTGAAAGATCCCCGCGGGCCCCGAGCTCCATGACCTGAACGGGCAGGTGGGTTTAGGGTTTAGGCTCCGTGTAAAGGTTTGGGTGTCCAGGGTTTGGGGTTTTAGGGCTTAGGGCTAAGCTTAGAGTTCCTGCTTTAGTCTCTAGGGCCTCGGGTTTAGGTCTGATGGTAGGGGATAGGATTCGGGGGACCCTTGGGGATATAGACCCTCTCAGTAAGGTCCCTGTTTAAGAGAGCCAGAAGAGGGTTAAGAAGGGCCCTCCCTTTTGAGGGTGCCACGTATCCTACCTGGGAACGGGGCGACCCCGCGGCTCCAGTTCTCACACGATTTTCAGTACTTGGAGGCTCATGGTACGTATTCACCAAGTATAACTGTACATGTAGCCCACTTATAAGCCCCTTAAGTGCCCCAATATGGCTAAAAAGTACAATTATAAGTACAGTCATAATTGGTTCATAAGTACCATGAACCTCCAAGCAAAAGGGTATATGAGGGTTCTACTCTATGCTTCTATCGGGGTCATCACACACTTCGATTTTGCACGGGGTTTGCTACAGGAGGGCTTTCGCGCTCACCGAGGACTTGAGTGGCGACTGGGAGCGTCACCAGCGCGTGGCGCGCACGCTTGCCAGAAGCGTCTGCCTGCTCCACGCCGAACCTTCGGTAGCTGGGGAGGCTGCCCTTAGGGTTTGCTACTATTTGCTTAAGACACCCCCCCCCACCCCCCCACCCCCCCACCCCCCCACCCACCCCCACCCCACCCCACCACCCAACCCCCCCACCCCCCACCCCCCCACCCCCCCCCCCCCCCCCCCCCCCCCCCCAAAAAAAAAGGATAATAATCCCTCTATTACCCTTATCAGGAAGAATGCCTTGTATTTTCATGGGGGGGGTTCTTAAGCAAATAGTAGCTTAAGGGTGGGATGTTCCCCCTTATATGAACAGTCTTAATAAAGCCCCCATTACGGGGAAGACCCAACTTTAAGGTTTAGGGATGAGGCCCGTCAAGTCTTTAGGACTCCTGCAGCCACGGCGGCACGCCCAGCAAGGACGCAATGTTGGGATGCTCGCCCGTCTGGGACATGAAGCGGACTTCTCGTCGGACGTAATCCTCATCCGAGTCGAAGACCTGGAGAAGCAGCCCGATGATCTTGCACCCCAGCACAAATCACGAGCACCCCCTAAACTCTGACATCCGAGCCCTTGTGACCTCCGAAAAAAACTGAAGAACAGTTGTCCCGAAGCGTTTTGCAGCCGCAAGTGAGACCTCGTCAGCCCTTTTAAGTTTCAGCAAGTCGAAAGTTGTGGTTTGCGCCCAGAATTTCGAGGACGCCCCACGCGCCAGCGCGACGACTCCCCGCGAGCACCGAGAGGTTGTCGCTTATGCCCCCAATTTCGGGGACGTCGCGTGCGCCAGCGTTTCCAGACCCCGCGAGCACCGAGACGGTTGTTGTTTGTGCCTATAGAATGTTCAGGATGCCGCACGCGCCAGCGTCACGACACCCGCGAGCACCCAAAAGGTTGGAGCATCTACTTAATATCTTAAATCATAAAGATATACTTAACATCATTGGACATAGTAAAACTGCTTGATACCCTTACATCACGCCATCACGACATCCATCCACCAGACCAACAACCTTCTTGAAGACCGGAATGAAACGAGCCTTGACCGCCACCCTGTGGCGAGGCCTGCTCCTCGAAGGTGACTCCTGGGGGGGCTCAGGGCTGAGGGTCAATGATAACTGTACTTATAACTGTACTTATAAGCATATTAGGGCACTTAAGGGGCTTATAAGTACAGTTATAAGCACAGTTATAATTGGTTATTAAGTACCGTGAACCTTCACGTTTTCTGCCCCGCAAGCTGGCAGCCACGTGTCCCCGCGCCTTCACCTCACCAACAAACACGGTCCCGTGCAGACCTCACAGCGACGGGTCGGCCAACTTGCAAGATGCAGAGGGTTTAGGGTTTAGGGTTTAGGGTTTAGGGTTTAGGGTTTAGGGTTGCCGCATGTGTGGTGTGTTTTTTGGGCACCTCGTCCACAGGGTCTCACGACTTCATGCGTCTCTCGAAAGTCCCATCGTATAGCTCCGCACCGGCTAAGATACTGCAGAAAGTGCTTCAAGCCATCGGAGTGGAAATGGCCGAAGAGCAGCCACACCTGCATACGTTGTCATGCATCTGTCAATTTTTGCACAGCTTCCCAGACCCCCCCAAAAGGATCCAACGAGTAGATCCCCTCATATACGGGTGCCTAAAAATGACCCAAGAGCAGCATGGCGGTACTATTTGGGGGTTCTACTTTTTGAATGCTCCCACAAATCTAAGGGGTCCTAGAAATGACCCAAGAGCAGTATGGGGTACTATTTGGGGGCTCTACTTTTTGGTTTCTCCCAGGGTTTAGGGTTTAGTGTTTAGGGTTTAGGGTTTAGGGTTTAGGGTTTGGGGTTTAGGGTTTAGGGTTTAGGGTTTAGGGTTTAGGGTTTAGGGTTTAGGGTTTAGGGTTTAGGGTTTAGGGTTTAGGGTTTAGGGTTTAGGGTTTAGGGTTTAGGGTTTAGGGTTTAGGGTTTAGGGTTTAGGGTTTAGGGTTTAGGGTTTAGGGTTTAGGGTGGTGTGGACGTCTGCGGTCTTTGGCCAAGATGCAGGGCGATGAGCGTCCGACTTCGCGACCTCCGGAGCCACGAGCAGGATCTGGGTTGGCTCCAGCTCCCCCGAGTTGCCTAATACTGAAATAGGAGGAAAAAAGACAATTTCGAGCTGTTTCTTAGGGATTTATGCTGAACTTGGGGAACCCTAGGAAAGATTGCAATTTGTAGCTGCTTCTTAGGACTTAAAAGTACCCCAAAAATTGAAAAACTCTTTCCAAGTTCTCCCCGGAGTTGCAGGGCCGCGTGTCAGCCCACAACAGGTCCGACCACTCCAAGGGTATGTGAAAGTCGGAGCTGCACGGCGATTCACGGTCACCGCTGTCCTGGCAGACAAGAATCATAACCTGAAATAACAGTCGAAGGGTGCCGAGCACCCTAAACCCTAAACCCTAAACCCTAAACCCTAAACCCTAAGTCACCTTGTCCTGGTACTGGATCCCGCAGGTCGTCACGCAGATGGAATCCAGCTGCATGTGCTTCCAAGGCAGCTGGCTCATGCCGCTCGCGGCCTGGTCCAAAACATGCCGGAGCCCGTCGAGACCTGTCAAGATCTGGGGGTCTTCTTCACCTGTTTTTTCATGAAAAAACATGTTTTTTCATGAAAAGACCTGTCAAGATCGGGGGGGTCTTCTTCAAGCTAAGGGTCGCGTGGTTTTTTGGAGACACCTCTTTTTGTTCTTTACTACTAGTTTATTACTATTATTAACATTTTTGTCATTATGATGCCTATTATTCTGATGATTATTAGTATTATCACAATTACGCCTTGGGGCCCCCGGTACACGGAAATCCCGCCTTCCTGCTGCGACACTTGCAGCGGATACTTGGCAGGGGTGCCGTGCACCGGATGGAGCCAACACATCCATGACGACTCGCCAAACCTAGGTTGGTAGTTTAGGGTTTAGGGTTTAGGGTTTAGGGTTTATGGTTTAGGGTTTAGGGTTGCCCAGTAACTTAGGATGAAAAAGGGGTTCATAAGGGAACCTAAACCTACCAAAAAGGGAATAAGGGTACTACTGGGCATCCTAGAAACGGAGTCAGCGCGGTGGGCTTGTTCGACGTCATGCGGTATCGCATTCCATCTCCTCTTGAGCCAATCGGTCTGCTAGCCTCCCGAATGATGGAAGTTTACCACAGCCTCTGTCACAGCACAAAAATGGGCTTTGCGACTCTACGCGTATACACCGCCCGCATCCCGATCGACTGTACATACGAAGCATCTGAAGTTTGGACAGCAGCTCACACTCATCTGTTTTTTGTACAAAATAAAGCCAAAAACAGCCAGGTGAAGCAACTTGACAACCCTAAACCCTAACCCCAAACCCGTACTTTAAAAAAATAAACCTGTACTACTATTGGGTCGTTTGAAGGAACCCTTAAGGGGGATCTACTTTTGGATCCTCCCAGGGGTCTGGGAACAAGACCCGCCCCGCAGAAGTGGACATTCACCAGCATGTCGGAGACGAGAAGTTTATAAACAGTTCATCTGACGGAACGGGACATACAGGAAGTAGGACTAGGCAACATCAGAGCCCGTCAAGACATCCCCCCCCCAGGGCTCTGGGCTCTCACCCTCCCTTAGGGTTTAAAATTTCAAGCTCAGGGAGGTTCGCACAGCAACGCACAGGCAAAGCCTAAGGGCACAGATGCTCAAAATGCAAAAGCGTTACGGCTGCGGGCAATGGAGAACAGAGGGAACGTCCACCCGATTTCAACAGGAGCTTTTCTGTGGCCGCTGTCGCTCGCATTGTTTTGGGCTGTTGGCTTGACATTGTTTTGCTTATTAAAACAAGATTTGGTTCAAAAAACTGCGCTAAAGAAATGACCTGACAAGCTGCTGAGGGTGAGCCTATTTGCTCAAGAATCCTTCCAAAAATAGTAACATTCTGACTTGTGAGGGCAGAAGTAGGGATTCTTATCATTTTTCTGTGTTACTATTGTGCTTGTTGTTTTTTTTCAAACGGAATCTGTAGGAGGGCTTCTGCAGGACAGAAAGCGTCGCCCCTCCCCAAACCTTAAGCCCTCAGCCTTAAACCCTAAACTCTAAACCCGAAACACAAGGTATCCTGCCTGAGAATCAGGAAGCCGAAGAAACAAGCGCATGAAAGCCGCAAGTCACTGCAGAGGCTCCAGACTTAGCATTTAGGGGTTTGGGGTTTAGGGTTTAGGGTTTAGGGTTTAGGGTTTAGGGTTTAGGGTTTAGGGTTTAGGGTGTAGGGTTTAGGGTTTAGGGTTTAGGGTTTAGGGTTTATTTAGGGTTTAGGGTTTAGGGGTTAGGTAGGGGTCAGGGTTTCGGGTCCGAGCCTTGTCGAACCTGAAGCCCGCCAAACCCTCAAGACGCCAAGCTTATAACACCTAAGACACCCGAACACCCGAATCCCCCAGACCCCTGAACCTCTAAACCTTAAAGCCCTTGAAAGCCTTCACCCTTGAACCCGAAACCCTGAAGTAAACCCCTGAAGCCCTAACGCCTCAACCCTCAAACCCTCAACCTTGAAGTAAACCCCTAAGCCCTAAACGCCTTAACCCGTAAACCTTTCAACCTTGACCTGAACCCTGAACCTTACCCCCCAAACCCCTAACTCCCTAAAACCCTCAAAACCCCACACCCTTGAACCTAAACCCCTAACACCCTAAACCCTTAAGCCACCTCGAAACCCCTAAACCCCCGAACTCCCGAAACTCCTAACTCCCTAAGCCCTTAACCCTAAACCCTAAACCCCTCAAACCCTAAACCCTAAACCCTAAACCCTAAACCCTAAACCCTAAACCCTTAACCCTTAAAAGGGAGAGGCTCAGACCACAGCCTGCCGGCTTCGCAGAGTTGCGTCCGGACTTCGTCACCTGGAGTCTTCTCATGGGGTCTAGGGTTTAGGGTTTAGGGTTTAGGGTTTAGGGTTTAGGGTTTAGGGTTTAGGGTTTAGGGTTTAGGGTTTAGGGGATTCTATGAGTTAGGATCTATATTTGGGGTCCCTTATTTTCGTAAAAACCAAAATAGAAATCAAGAGAAGATGTAGGGGGTTTGGGGTTTCGGGTTTAGGGTATTGGAAATCAGGAAGCTTTAGAGTTTAGGTTTAAAGGTTGAGGGGTTGAGGGGTTGAGGGTTGAGGGTCTAGGGTTTGGGGTTTGGGTTTAGGGTTTTGGGTTTGGGGGGTTTCAGGTTTAGGTCTAAGGGTTGGGGGGCTTTAGGGTTTAGGGTTTAGGGGTTGAGGGGTTCAAGGGTTGAGCTTACAGCTTAGGGTGGGAAATAAACGCGATCCAGTGCCTGGAAAGACGTTTAGGGTTTAGGGTGTAGGGTTTTGGGTTTAGGGTTTAGGGTTTAGGGTTTAGGGTTAGGGTTTAGGGTGTAGGGTGTAGGGTGTAGGGTTTCGGGTTTAGGTTGCTTTTCTATCATATTAGCTTGTGGAATCCTTGTCTCACTGGGTGTTGGTTGTGTCTGGTCATCTGCGTTTGTATCAGTAGGGGCAGCACGATAATTGCTCTTGCGCCCTTCCTTGACCTCACTATGGGACAACTGTGAAACCCTGTTGCCATCGTCGACAGCTGCTTTTGTCGTCGTCTGCGTTCCTTTGGCAAAAGAACATGGGTGTCGGAGCACTTCCCGCCAGGCCCGGGTACAAGGGTGGCATCGAGCGCACCATGGGGGTCCTGCGGGGCCAAGACCCCGCTCCCGCCGTCCCAGGGTTTTCAGGTGGCATGTCCGCAGCTGACGCGGGTCGGTCTGTACCGACGTACAAATTCGGACTGCTCGTCGTTCAGCATGACATGTTGCTGGATGCGCTCAAGGCGTGGAAAGGTTTCCAACAGCCCCTGAACATGTTGCCACAGCAAGGTCCCCCCGAGGTGTACACAGTCATACGGAGTCCTACGCACAACTTGTATCTTCTGCTTCAACGACAGCTGCTTGTTTGCCCGCGCTCTTTGGGGAGGAAGTATGGAGGCGCAAGAACACGGTCGTGGGAGAGTCCTCCTAGGCCTGACCCTAAGGCGGGCCCAGGGTAGCATCATGAGCATGACTGGCTGTTCTCAGTAGTGCGGAATGAGGGCACCATATCATCCCTTAAAGGGTATATACAGGGCCCTCATTCCGCACTAAGGACTTGGGGAATGATTGGGATCCTGGGATAAGAAAGCATCATGCGCACAATAGGGATCCTGGGAGCCTCCCCAAGCCCGGGCCCAAGGCCGGATAGCATCATTGGGGTGGAACCCTGGCCCCGAAAAAGCGGAGAGGCAGGACGCCCCAAAGTCCCGGAATGCCCCGCAGTCTGGCTGCAAAAGCCAGGTCACGCGGCCACAAACCCTAAACCCTAAACCCTAAACCCTGGTACGGATCTCGGCCAGCCTTTGGGGCTAGCTTTCGAGATTAGGGTTTAGGGTTTAGGGTTTAGGGGTTAGGGTTTAGGGTTTAGGGTTTAGGGTTTAGGGTTTAGGGTTTAGGGTTTAGGGTTTAGGGTTTAGGGTTTAGGGTTTAGGGTTTAGGGTTTAGGGTTTAGGGTTTAGGGTTTAGGATCTAGGGTTTTAGGGCAGCATTCACGCAAAGGTTCCCCAACTTATACAGGGGGGCTATGCTACGTTGGGAATAAGGAGGGCTCCCCCCCTTTTTGAAAAGGCCGCTGTGATGCTTGCTAGTGCTTCTTGCTGCGAGTCGTTCCTTTACTAGCTCCGGAGAACAGACTCCCAAACCCTAAACCCTAAACCCTGAACCCTTTCCAATTACACGAGTCAGGAGGCTGGGACACCACAGCGCGTTGCCGAAAAGCGTACGAAGCCACCTGGCCAGCGGGTTGACACAACGAGGTGCTGGGCCTGGGTTTAGGGTTATAGGGTTTAGGGTTTAGGGTTTAGGATTTAGGGTTTAGGGTTTAGGGTTTAGGATTTAGGGCTTGGGGCTTAGGGCTTAGGGTTAGGGTTTAGGGTTTAGGGTTTAGGTTTTAGGGTTTAGGGTTTAGGGCTGCCAGGTACCTCTGCGGCAGTCTGGCGTCTAAATCTGGAGAGGTAGCTTTCCGAAGGGCCGATTTACTGAGGAGACCTCTTGAGCGGAGTGTGCGAAGAAAAACCCTAAACCCTAAACCCTAAACCCTAAACCCTAAACCCTAAACCCTAAACAGAAGAAGAAGAAGAGCAGCAGGTGGAGGGGGAGGAGGAGGAGGAAAGCCAGAACGAACAGTTACAATCTCAACAAACTACTATGACCATTAAAAAATGACGATCATGGATTTTTGTTAACGTGCATGTGGATGTTGTTCTAAATTCTTATGCCAAGCCTAAGGCCGTAGGGTTCCCTTGCGCCTCGCCCTTGCGCCGCCTTGCGCCGTGCTAGTGTTTGGCCACGTCGGCAAACATGCCAACTACAAAACGTGGTACCGACAAGGTTTTCTGGGGATTTGTACTACGTACTAGAAGCGATGTTTCCATAAGCTGGCTGGATTGTCACTGTTTCGGTTGGATTGTCGCTGTTTTGAAGTACAGGCTTAGCACCGGAATCGATGTTTCATGACATGTTCAAACCAGTTTTATTGTGTCAGGGCCCATGGCTCCGCATCGGCCACGCGGTCTTGCGCCAGCCTTGCGCTTCCCTTGCGCCACCCTTGCGACGCGAGTCCCGCTGACAAACTAAACTCTAGACTCCAGACCCACTGACCTCTAACCTTGAACACATCCTATACGAAACCATCCTAAACCCTAAGCCCCAGACCCTCAACCCCTAAACCCTAACCTCTAACCCTAACACCTAAACTTGCAGACCCCTGACCCTGTGCACGACAAGGCGGCGGCCTGATCTTAGAGTTTTGGGCTCCTGGCCCTTGCGCTCGCCCTTGCGCCCCCTTGCGCCGTGCTGGTTTTTGGCGCCATAGTTACACCAAGGCAACATACGTGTGGCCGGCCCAATTAAACTCGAAGAGGCGGGGGTTTAGAACAACGCCCATGTGACGACGACGGCGACGGCGACGGGGACGCGGACGCCGACGCCGACGCCGACGCGGACGCCGACGGCGATGGCGATGATGAGAGCATCGTCGTGGTGGCGGTAGTGGTGGTGGTGCAGTAACGAATGTCCAAGACCAAGGATCGCGTGGATCTCTGGTTCCTGTCTTCACATGACAAACTTGTGCACTCGGAGGGGCTGTGGGCACTCTTTTCACAAAAACGATCTTGCGTTTTCCGTCAGTGCCTATGTCTGGGATTTAAATGCGCTTTCGCTTGCGTGTTTGACCGATCGTTGCGTTTTTAACCGATCGTTGCTCCAGTTCGTACACTTCAGTGCCGGCATTCACCAAAAAAGGCACATGTGCGTCGAAATACAGCTATGCATGTTGCACATCATACATCCTCGACAGCGAGCGTGATGTTGTTGAACGTTCTTGTTGTGCCTTCAACCCCAACCCCTAAACCCTAAACCCTGCACCCTGAACCCTAATCCTCTCTAACCTATGCATATTTAACGGCTGATGGCTTCGCGGTCTTCCACCAACACTTCGCGGACAAGCACCAACATTTCGAGGACAAGCACCAACAATTCACGGGCAAGCACCAACAATTCGCGGACAAGGGACTTAAGATGCTGAACCCTAAACCCTAAACCCTAAACCCCAAACCCTAAACCCTAAACTGCTCAAGGAATTCAGGTGCCCACCTGACATTCGGCGAAGGCAGAAGCCGCGAAGATGTCCGCCGATTCTGGGGGGTTTTAAGGGTTTAGGGTTAAGGGTTAAGGGCTTTAGGGGCTTTCGGGGCTTTAGGGGGTTTTGGGGGCTTTAGGGGTTTTGGGTGGTCGTTGCATTTAGGGGTTTTTGGGGTTTTAAGGGTTTAGGGGTTTTGGGGGTTTGGGGCTTTAGGGGTTGTAAGGATTTAAGTAGGGGTTTTCGGGTTTGGAGGCTTTTGGGGATTTTCGGGGATCTGAGGGGCTTCAGGGGATTAGGGGTTTTAACGAGGTCCCAATGTAGCCCTGCAGTCCTGGTCGCGGCCCTCAACGTTCAAGAACACGTCGGACTGGAAGTCCTTTGCTCTGCAGGGTTGCAACAGATGGGGGCCGGTTAGGGTTAAGAACCCGGCAACCAGAAGCATTGGACCACCGTCATATTGCAGGGTTTAGGGTTTAGGGGTTTAGGGTTTAGGGTCTAGGGTTTAGGGTTTAGGGTTTAGGGTTTAGGGTTTAGCAACTTGGCGCGAGCATGTGTCCACCAGCAGCCAGCGAAATGATTGGGTGGCACCCGCACCACAGCACACCCAGACTGGAGAGCTGTGGACCTGGGCTCTGTTCAAGGGGTTTAAGGTTTGGGGGTTTAGGTTTCGGGTTTCGGGTTTAGGGTTTAGGGTTTCGGGTTTCGGGTTTCGGTTTTCGGGTTTCGTGTTTAGAGGTTTGGGACTTGGGTTACAGCCACTTGTCGGCGCGTGGGCGCCGTTTCATATTTTGGTGGAAGGTTCAGGTCTGCGGCTTCTGCAAGGGCCTCAAAGACTTTGCAAGCATCAGGACTTCGAACCTGAGCCTCATGATGCCTCATGCTGTGTTCGTTCTAGCCCTAAACCCTAAACCCTAAACCCTAAACCCGAAACCCCGGGTCCAGCAATGGGTCACACAAATCTTGGAGGGAAGAGGGTCGCATCGAATAAAACCCGGTCTTCGGGGACCCTTCGTGACTCTGCGGCCTCTCCAGCCACACCGGGGCCGGGGGGTTTAGGGTTTAGGGTTTAGGGTTTAGGGTTTAGGGTTTGGGGTTTGGGGTTTGGGGTTTGGGGTTTGGGGTTTGGGGGTTAGGGCTTGGGATTTGGGGTTCAGAGGTGAGCGAAACAGCCGAGAAGTCGCCTGCGCGCAAAGGAGAACTTCGCACCAGTAGCCATCTCGATAGACCAGCGCGAAGTCCAACAACTCAGGCGGGCGAGTTTCCTGGCCCCGAGCGACGGGGCTGTGGGTGTTGGGACTTAGGCTTTGTGTTGTAGGGCTTAGGGCCTGTTTAGGGTTCAGGGTTGAGGGTTGAGGGTTGAATGTTGAGGGTTTGGGGCTTGGGGCTGCGGGTTTCCGGCTCACCCCCCCTCCCCCCACCCCAAGGACGCGATTTCTGGTTGCCTTCGCGGCGGACGGTTGTGTTCAAAACTCGCACCTCCGCATGCTTCGCCAGCACCAGGACATTCGAGTCGCCGCCTTGCGAAACCCTAAACCCTAAACCCTAAACTCTAAACCCTGAACCCTAAACCCTAAACCCTAAACCCTAAGCCCTAAAGCCCTGGGCCTTGTGCGCAGTAGTGGATGTGGTGGAAGTCGGCCAAGGTCTCGACGTCGTGGGAGATGCTAAAGATGGTTGCGCCTGTGAGCGACTGGGTCAGAGTCTCGTACATCCTGAGGGTGCTGCTTTTGCCTTGGTAGCCCGGCAACCATCTTAAAAAAAAAGGGCACCCTTGTTTGAGGTTGGTTACTGTATAAGGGAACCCAAAGCAAAAAAAGGGGCAAAAGGCACCACTGGGCTGCCAGGTTGCTCATGTTGCTGGTGGACTCATCTAAGAAGAGCATCTTCGGCTTCTGGAGCAGGGCATGTGCCAGGGCCAGGCGCTGCCGCATGCCTGGGTTGGTGCGAAGCATCCAGTTGTCTTCACGATCCAAGCCTTCGCCCTGGGGCAGCTCTTCCTCCTCCTCCTCCTCCTCCTCCTCCTCCTCCTCCTCCTCCTCCTCCTCCTCCTCCTCCTCCTCCTCCTCGTCGCCCTCGCCCTCGCCCTCGCCCTCGCCCTCGCCGCCCTCGCCCGCGCCCTCGTCAGCCTCCTCCTCTGCTTCCAGGCTCTCCGACAACTTCTCTGCATCCAGCAGCCGTTGGAGCGAAACCTGCCCGAGGGCTGCCAGGATGGCTGGGTCATCGTAGGCGCCTTCGGGCTGCGGATAGCAGACTGCGGCACGCAGGGTGCAGCGCCTGGGCAGCACGGGATGCTGGGGTATGAAGAGGACCTCCTCTTCATCGGGCATCTCCAAGCCGCACATCTGGACGTGGGGCCAAACTCCTGCAAACACCTTGAACAGCACGCTCTTGCCGCAGCCCTCCTCTCCAAATATCAGCACGTGCTGGCCAGCAGGCACATTCAAGCTCACATCGCGCCACAAGATCTCGCCGTCCGGCAACCGGACCTCAAGAAATTCGCAAGCAACTTAACACACAATCAAAACCCTGCTACGCTGTAGGATTCATGACGACATGCCCGGTTTAGGGTTTAAGGTTTAGGGCTTAGGGCTTAGGGTTTAGGGTTTAGGGTTTAGGGTTTGCTGTGATAATTAGGGCGTAGCTCGAAAGCTTCGTGAGGTGCGAAGAGCAGCATTGGCCCGATTGTGGAGGGCCATCTAGGCAGTTTGGGAAGTTGCAGCAAGTTTCCGGGAAGCCAGCCGGCTGTGGGTGAAGTGGAGGGGCAGGCCTGGCGCCAGGAGTTGGGGGTTGAGGGTAATGACTTTCCCATCGTGGGTGCTACCGACGGCGAACGACCTGGGTCGGCTTGCGTCATCGAGGTCGCGGGGCTGAGGCGCCGCCCCCCAACTGTAGGGGGGCGGCCTAAGCCTTGAGTTTAGGGTTTAGGAGTTTGGGGTTTAGGGTTTAGGGTTTAGGGTTTAGGGTTTAGGGTTTGCCTTAAGTTCCCTGGACCTCTGCCACGTGCGCGGAGAAGGCATCGGCGGATGGATTGCTGCAAGCGGGCGCCGCTGCCTTCCTCGCAGGTGCTGTGTCTCGTTCTTATTTGATCGACTTTCTCTGGATTGCGGATGTACATGCGTGGAGGTCTGCATATATATATATATATGTATATAGTATATATATATGGGTTCCAAGAGGAAGAAACCTCGCAAATATCGCGTGTTTTGTGGGTCCGCGTAAAAACACCCCTAAACAGGCTCATTTTATGCGCTCGAACGGCATCATGCCCACAAAACACCCGAAAAGCAAGACCCCGAATGGGTTTTCGGGGTTTTGCTTTTCGGGGTTTCGTGCGCATGCAAGCGTTCAAGCACATAATCGGCGTGTTTAGGGGGGTTTTGGATGGCCTGGGGGAGGCCGCTGATGCTCAACTTTGCTGGCCCCAAATGGCTTCCCAAGCAAAAAAACGTGTGTTTGCAGTGTTTTCTGAAGGCTTTTCGAAGGCAAAACGCGTGTTTAGGATGTTTTTAGGGCTCCCAAACCAACCGCGCTGATGCTCCTGATGCGGGTGCGCGCGGGCAAAGTCAAGAGAAAGAGAGACAGAGAGAAGAAGACGAAGAGAGACAGACAGAAAGAGACAAAGGTGAACGAAGAAGAGAAAGGTGAACGAGCAAGAGAAAGTGAGAAGATAGAGAGGGAGAGATTTTTAAAAAAAGAACGAAGAAGAGAGGGAGAGAGAGAGAGAGACAGAGGAAGACCAACAGCAACAGAAAGAAAAGAAAGGCGAAGGAGAAAGAAAAAGGTGAGCGGGAAGAGGAAAAGAGAGAGAGGGAGGGAGAGAGGCTGGAGAGAGGCTGAGGGAGAGAGAGAGAGAGGAAAAGAAACAGAGAAAGATCAACAGCAAGAGAAAGAAAAAAGAAAGAAAGGTGAGGGAGAAAGAGAAAGAGAAGGAGAAGGAGAAGGAGCAAGAGAAAGAGAAAGAGAAAGAGAAAGAGAAAGAGAAAGAGAAAGAGAAAGAGAAAGAGAAAGAGAAAACGAAGGAAGCGCAGGAGAAGTAAGAGGAGAAAGAGAAAGACAGATAAACAGAAAAACAGGCAAGTCGAGAGGGAGAGAGAGGAGAGCGACAAAGACAAAGAACAAAGAGAAAGGGAAAGAGAAGACAGTGCCAAGGTTCAAGGTTTCGTGTTTTGGGGGGCGGGGGCCGGCCCGTGCCGCTAGGCCTGAAATCTCGCAGCGCCATGGCCCGGCCTAGGACCTGTGTATCCCGTAGCGCATCATGGGCATCCGCGGGTTCAGAGGGCATTAGCCGACATGCTTGGTGTATGTCTATTTCTATCTATTTAACTTGCTATTGCAACAGTAGAAGTAGGTTAATAGGAATGTTTACACGTATGTGTATATATATGTTTTTTTATATGTGTATATATATATATATGCGAACCCCGAGACCAACCCCGCACGAATCCAAGAGTAAGACAAACCAAAAAAACCAAAAAACACAAATTCGTAGGGCCTGGCACAAACTAAAAAAGCCAAAAAAACCCACAAAAAAAAAAAAAAATCGCGGGGCCTGGCCCAAACCAAAAAAAACAACTTTGGTTTTTTGGTCTGGGCCAGGCCCTCCGAGTTTTTTGGTTTTTTGGTTTTTTTTGGTTTTGGGTTTTTGGTTTTTTTTTTTTTTTTTGGTTTTTTTGGTTTTTCTTGTTTTTTGGTTTTTTTCATTTTTTGGTTTTTAGGGTTGTTTTGGTTTTGGCCAGGCCGGCCGATGTTTTTGGGTTTTTTGGTTTTTGGTTTTTTTGGTTTTTGTTGTTTAGACTTTTGGGTTTTTTGGGTTTTTTGGTTTTTTGCCAAGACCGACCTCGACATCAACCTCTCCAGAAAAAAAACAGAAGACAAGCCTGAGGTGCGACACTGAACTGAGGCCAATGGAAACACAAAGAAAAGGTAAAAGAACTATCCACGTCATATATGTATATGGGAAATATGTATACGATCTCGACTGCAGATAAACGACAAGAAAGGATGTACAGATAGTCGAGAAGAAAGGATGTTCATCCTCAAACGTTAAGACGAAGAAGTACTCGAAGGCAGAGAGTGACATGTAAAAACATTATATGTAAGCCCGGGGTGCGAGAATACTGTGAGCAAATATCATTTCTTGGTATTCAGGATTGGAAATGCCTTTGTTTGTAGGGAACTTGGAAGTATTCGCATGCATGGAGTGATGCAAGAAAATCAAGATCCCACCCACGCCGTCCCAACGGTTCCACTCTGTACTAATTCTTTGCATCCCATCGGAGGCAAGCCCCACAAACATGGGCATTGTCTTAGGAAAACGTGAAGAAAATCACAATCAAAAAGCAAGCTGGGCCCCCAAGAAATGCCAATGTTTGTAAGGCTTTCCTCCTATAGAATGCAAAGAAGAGGTAGAATCTAAGAAACATTCACCATACCCCAAACCCATACCCCACTTAACCTATATGAAAGGATAATAAAAGGGAGTCTATACCCCTTAATTTTTTTTGAGGGGTATGCCCTAAAATTATATGTTGAATGTTTCTTTGATAGAATAACTACCCACATCATGTATGTATATTTTCTGTGTGTCTAGTAGAAGAAAGGAAGGTAACAGCAATTGTTCGAGAAACTAAACACACTACGAACCAAACAAAAAGATGCAAAACCATGGGCACGATGACCCGAACATAGGGAACTAGTCTCCCAAGATTGTGCGTGTGTGGTTCTCTTTGGTTTAGGTTTTCATTACGAATTTACTCACTCAACAAAGACAAAAAAATAGCCTTGCCTCTTTGCTGTGATGCTCGTGACACATCTTCCTATGTATATCCCGAGTACTTCGCTCGGAAATCCGTCGTTACGGCCTCAGTTCAGTGTCGCAGCTCAGGCTTGTCTTTTGTATTTCTGGACAGGTTGATCTTGAGGTCGGTCTTGGGGGGTTACTATATATATATATATATACGATACTAGTCATACTCGAAGTATACTCATATGAAGGCTATATATATATGTACAATAATCACAGAAACAGAGTATCAAGAATACTCAGAAGAATGAATAATAAGACTGATAAGGATACCCCAAGAATACTAAGAATACTAAGAATACTAAGAATACTTAAGAATGCTAAGAATACTAAGAATACTGAGAACACTAAGAAAATTAGAATAAACAGAAGAAAAAGAATTCTATGCACAATAAGAAAATAAACGTTTCTTCTGAGCCCGCCTCTGAGCATCCTTTGAGGACGCTTCGCGGCCCGGGCAGACGGAAGCAATGCCATCTTCCAGCTCCAGGATTCGATTCCTTGTGGTCTCTTGAGTGTGCGACACAAGAACGCTTTGGTCCCCTGAACCCTAAACCCTAAACTCTGAACCCTCAACCCTCAACCTTAAACCCATGGCAGTCAACGCCCAAGATGTCTTTCGTTGACCCTTGGCCTTCTCCTCCTATTTTCCTCCTCGCCTGCCTCCTCCTGATCCTCCCCATCCTTCGGCTCCTTCTCTTCCTGTAGCTGCTTTAAGGGGTTTACGGGGGTTTAGGGGGGTTTAGGGGGGTTTGGGGGGGTTTTGGGGGGTTTTGGGGGGTCTAGGGGCTCCTTCTCCTGTCGCTCCCTTCTGGTTCTCCAGCAATTGCCATTGGAGCCGGGCAGGGGGGCCATCTCCAGGCCATCCAGCTCCCAAGAATTGCCACATCATCTAACCCTAAACCCCAAACCCTAAACCCTAAACCCTCAACCCTCAACCCTCAACCCTCAACCCTAAACCCTAAACCCCAAAACCCCCAAACCACGAAACCCCGATGTCTGCTCCACTTCCGAGGCTCAGGGATGCGCGCCAGTGGCAGATGCGACCTGAGCACCCCCGGGTTTAGGGTTTAGGGTTTAGGGTTTAGGGTTTAGGGTTTAGGGTTTAGGGTTTAGGGTTTAGGGTTTAGGGTTTAGGTGTTTAGGGTTTAGGGTTTAGGGTTTAGGGCCCCTAAACACCTTGGTAGCCCAGTTGTCATATTCAATGAGGGCACCCTTTTTTGGGGGTTGGTTCTTTTTATAAAGGGAACCTTGAAGCCTCAAAAAAGGGAAAAGGGTACCACTGGGCTACCAAGCCAGAAAAAATAATTGTACTTCGAACATGCCCACCTTGCTCCTCGTTAAAAGGAAAGAGCGCAAATAGGATGTTCAAACAAAGACACATTGGTTCAAATACGTGTTCTTAGTTTTTGCTTGCAATTGGGGTTGGGCATTCCAGGGTTGGGCACTCCAGGGAGACTCTGGGCACTCCGGGGTTGGGCACTCAAGGGAGTCTCTGGCGTTGGGCACTCAAGGGAGACTCTGGGGTTGGGCACTCCAGGGAGACTCCGGGGTTGGGCACTCCAGAAGTCTCTGGGTTGGGCGGTTGGGCACTCCAGGGAGTCGCTTGAGTCTCTTGAGGTTGGGCACTCCAGGGAGGCTCTAGCAGTAGACCGGGTCCGGGCGCGGAGAAGAGTTCCGGGCGAGGAGAAGAGTTGAGTTTAACATCTAACAACCCCCTTTCTTTTGGAGAGATCTGCTTTGGGCTTCGGGTCTTGGGTACATGAGTTTAAGGTTTGGGATTTGAGGTTTAGAAATTTCGGGTCTTGGGTACATGAAGTCGGGTTCTTTGTGAGCGTCTGCGAGATTCCCGATTCCACCCATGGAAGCTAAAGCGAGACGAGGCTACTGAGACGGAACAGGCGAGGCATGGGCCAACCGAGAGTTTGGGGGTCCCCTTTTTTTAGGGGGTAGTTCCAAAACCTTACCCTAAACCCTAAACCCTAAACCCGAAACCCTAAACCCTAAACCCTAAACCCAAGGGACTCCTCAAGTTCGGGACATCCGTCAGAGGCCCAGGGGCTGTAGGACTCCACGAACCAGCCGAGGCAGCTCATGACATGAAACGAGGCTCCTGGGCTGCAGTTTAGGGTTTAGGGTTTAGGGTTTAGGGTTTAGGGTTTGGGGTTTAGGGTTTCGGGTTTAGGGTTTCGGGTTTCGGGTTTCAGGTTTCGGGTTCATAGATCACAGTGGAGGTGGGGATTGAAGGAAGCAAGGGTTTAGGGTTTAGGGTTTTTTAGGGTTTAGGGTTCAGGGTTTTAGTTTTTAGGGTTTAGGGTTTAGGGTTTATTGTTCAGGGTTCAGGGTTTAGGGCTTAGGGTTTAGGGTTTGAGCATATCTAAACAGCTTAACAGCTCGCCCTAAGGGCACCCCAAAACGACTGCCAAGCCGCCTGAGATCTGCATGAAGGTTCCGAAATCGATCTGCTGCCGGAAGAGACAAGGGAGCAAGACGAAGTTGGGAAGCCTGAGCAGCGGGAGGGCTTTTTTCTTAGGGTTTAGGGTTTAGGGTTTAGGGTTTAGGGTTTAGGGTTTAGGGGTTTAGGGGTTTAGGGGTTTAGGGGTTTAGGGGTTTAGGGGTTTCGGGGTTTAGGGTTTAGGGCCAGTACGAGAATCATCAGAGGCAGTATGGCATCCTCTTCCTAAAGAAAGGCAAGCAGATGAGGCCCTTCAATGTATTGAAGCTTCTGTTCAGCCTTGGGGGTTGGGGTCGATGGACTCATAACTCAGGTTTAGGCATGTCATACAGGGTTTAGGGTTTAGGGCTAGGGTTTAGGGTTTAGGGTTTAGGGCTTAGGGTTTAGGGTTTAGGGTTTAGGGTTTAGGGTTTAGGGTTTGGGGTTTGGGGTTTGGGGTTTAGGGCTTAGTCGCAGACTCGGTCTTCGCGGATCAGGCTGTGGGATAGGGGACCTTCCGAGAGAAAGCCATAGACCGCAGTGTCCAAAACAGCCGAGAAGAGCCCAGGAAGCTTCGATGCATCGTGACGTGGAACCGCCCTAAACCCTAAACCCTAAACCCTAAACCCTAAACCCTAAACCCTAAACCCTAAACCCTAAACCCTCAGAAGCCTGAAGGGCAAGAACAAGTACCCTCTATACCCATGATGGTGGAACTGGGAGCCGACCAATAGGAGGGTTTAGGGCGCTTAGGGTCCAAGGGAGTTGGGGTTTAGGGTTTAGGGTTTAGGGTTTAGGGTTTAGGGTTTAGGGTTTAGGGTTTAGGGTTTAGGGTTTAGGGTTTAGGGTTTAGGGTTTAGGGTTTAGGGGGTTTAGGGTTTAGGGTTTAGGGTTTAGGGTTTAGGGTTTAGGGTTTAGGGTTTAGGGTTTAGGGTTTAGGGTTTAGGGTTTAGGGTTTAGGGTTGGGGTTTAGGGTTTAGGGTTTAGGAGGGTGCCTAGGGTTCGAGGGGTGCAGGGCATTTCGGGTTTCAAGGGGTTTAGGGTTCGGGGCTTCGTGTTTCGGGGTTCGTAGGGATTAGTGAGAGTGAAACGTCCAGCGAGGTTATGGTAGGAGTGTGCCTCAGTGCGGTCCAAAAGCATCCACTGAGCGTAGTCTAACATGGCCTTGAGGATGTCCACGCGCTTTTGCAACTGCATGTGGTTGTGCAGAACGAGCTTCAGCTGTCCGAATGATGACCTTCAGGCGAAAGGCTGGGAGCTTGCTCTGGCGTTCGCGCATGTAGGTGCGCCCCCATACAGTCTACAAGTACAGCAGGTCGCTTAAGCACATCCGGCCTATCTGTCTGTCTATCTATATCTGCACATCTCTACCGTGCACATATCATATACACAAATAATGATTAAAAAAAAAGATCGATCGCTGGCATGAGCTCATGAAGCAAGCTACCTTTCCAATGTGGGGCTCAGAGGCTTCAACCCGAAACCCCCCAAACCCCCAAACCCCCAAACCCCAAACCCTAAACCCTAAACCCTAGACCCTAAACCCTAAACCCTAAACCCTAAACCCTAAACCCTAAACCTACCGTTGTTCTCACCGGGTCTCCCTTAGTCTTCGTCCGGGTCTACCCGGGGGTCTCAAGGCCATGGTCCCCTGAAACATGATACAAACTGCTCCCCGAGGGTTTAGGGTTTAGGGTTTGGGGTTTAGGGTTTGGGGTTTAGGGTTTGGGGTTTAGGGTTTGGGGTTTGGGGTTTAGGGTTTAGGGTTTAGGGTTTTGGGTTTTGGGTTTAGGGTTTAGGGTTTAGGGTTGACGGCCAAAGCACATGATCCTTCTGTGCTCCAGTCCGCCAGACCCATACACCGAAATGCTTTCGGCGTGCTCGCTGCAGTGGGTCAGATCTCTCCGCACCCTTGCTTCGCAAGTCTCACCCTGAATGCTCAGCGGCAGCATCCTCAGACTGTTATTGGTTTAGGGTTTAGGGTTTAGGGTTTAGGGTTTAGGGTTTAGGGTTTAGGGTTTAGGGTTTAGGGTGGATGCAACGCAAGGTTCCCGAATACTCCCCGCTACTCCCCAAGGCTCCCTAAGCCTGCCCTGAGGTTCCCTAGGTACCTACCCCCCATGAACCCTAAACCCTAAGCCCTAAACCCTAAACCCTCAACTCAACCCTCAACCCTCAACCCTCAACCCTAAACTGGCACCCTCCCTTAAGAACCCTATAAGACTTGGGCCAGGGAAGCCATGGAATGGCATGAGGCTGTCGCGCCTGAAATCCTCAACCGATATTTGGGTGTGGGAGCTGGAAACCTACGACTTGGAATGAACGAACCTGCGCTTTTGTGTTCTGCGTTTAGGGTTTAGGGTTTAGGGTTTAGGGTTTAGGGTTTAGGGTTTAGGGTTTAGGGTTTAGGGTTTAGGGTTTAGGGTTTAGGGTTTAGGGTTTAGGGTTGTCGAACACCATGGGGTCCAAGAATACACTCACATGCTGAAAGCTAGGGCATGGCAATTGGGACTTGACGTATTGAAGTACACTAATCTAGGGGGCTTAAGAATTAGAATAGGGTTTTGGGGGGCTAGTATAGTATATTTACAAAGGGACCCTAAGGGAATACTAGTAGTAACTATTCCAACCCCGAAGCCCTAAACCCTAAACCCTGAACCCTCAACCCTGTATACCCTAAACCCTAAACCCTGAACCCTAGTGCAGGCAGGGCATCTGCTTTCCCAGGTAGTGCGCGCAGGCCAGGCCGAACAGTGACCAGCAAGTCCTGGGCAGTCTTCTTCTTCAATCCCAGCGAGGGGTTTAGGGTGTTTAGGGGTTAGGGTTTAGGGTTTAGGGTTTAGGGCTTCCACAAGCTAGCCTGGCTCAGCAGCGCACACACACACACACAAAAAAAAAAAAAATCAGAAAACGGGAGACTGAGGCTTCGATGCCAACAGGAATCAAAAAAAGCAGAAACCACCCAGGGACGTGCGCTCCCAGTGTGAAGGGCGACGTCGGAGGCGTCAAGACGAAAATCACGAAGCCAAAGACGATGCAATAGTTCGCGTGATCCTTGGAAGGCTCTTTTGGAGAAAGAGAGACTAACACAGCCCAAAACTCTAAACCCTAAACCCTAAACCCTAAGCCCTAGCCCTAAACCCTAAACCCTACACCCTATGGTCCGTCAGTGCACCAGTAGATGAAACGACTTTACGAAAATTCATACACTCGGCTTGGCTGTGCTTTGGGCCGCATCTTCTTGATCTGTTCAGAGATCTAGGCCCAAGAGTAACTTAGGGGAAAAAGATGCCCTTTTTGGCTTGAAAGGGCTTAGAAGGAAGCCTCCTAAAGTTCAAAACAAGGGAACATGGGCCTACTCTGGGTGCTAGACATTCATGTCCCGGCGTCCACTGCGTCCCAGATGAGCTCGACCGTCTGCGCCGTGAAGTGCTCAACATCTTCCTGAAGTGTGCCCAAAGCCCTAAACCCCTAAGCACTCTCAAGTTTGCTCAAGACTCCTTCAAAGACGTCAGAGCCCCAAGTCCACAACACCGTCACCAGACTCTCCCCTCCCCTCCCCTCCCCCCCCCTGCAAAGAAAAAAGGAGAGAAGAGAAAACCAACAAGCGCAAACAAGCAACACACAGCTCCACAACCCCAGGGCCCTCGGGTCTACGCCACAAAGGAATAAACCTCCCAGCGCACCCCGCAAGCCCTCGGCTGCCTGAATTCGCTGATCCGGGTTGTCGATCTCCGTGCCATCGCGCAGCTGCAGCAAGAAGTGCGCGTTCCTCCGTGCACCAAAAGGTCTATCAAGCTATTGTTTGGGGTCGGCCTACTCTTTCTTTCGCTGCGCCTGTTCAAAAAGCTCGAGAAAAAGAACAGCGCAAGGAATCAGACGTGTGGCTTCGTCGCAAGGTGAGCCCTCGAGGCCTGAGACCTGAAAACGGCCTCAACCTTGTCGCCGAGCAGCTTATCCAGCCACATCTTTGCAAGCTTCTCCGTCATGCAGGTCCGCCAGTGCAGTTCGATTGCAGTACGGACCCAGGTGGCATAACCTACAGGGTTTTGGGTTTAGGGTTTAGGGATTGGGTCAAGGGTTTAGGGTTTAGGGCTTAGGGCTTAGGGCTTAGGGTTTAGGGTTTAGGGTTTAGGGTTTAGGGCTTAGGGCTTAGGGCTTAGGGCTAAGGGCTTACGGATTAGGGCTTAGGGTCTAGGCACTTGTACAACGTGGGGGGGCTTATGATATACGCGATATTTTGGACGCCTTCTTTTGGGGGGTCGTGATGATAAGGGGATCCTAGTATTTGGGGGTCCATTTTCGGGGGGTCCCGTATTATCGTAAACCCCCATGTTGAAAGTTGCATAGCCCAAAGCTGAACCACCGTCGCAGAGTCTGCCACTTTCGCGATGTAGGATAGCATCAGCACAAAACTCATGATACCGATCTCTAAGCAAGCAGCAGGAGAGCCTAAAACCTGTGACAGATACGCAAGCTTCCATCCTAAGGTGTAAAGCCTTTCGCCTCTTACCTGGACTGAACCGACACTCCACCGCGCCCTGAGGAGCCGAACTTACTTCCACCTTCAGGAGCATCCGGATCGTACGTATCAAGGTACCTTCCGTCATCCGCGCACCCTTTGCAACAGCAGACTCTGGGAAACCACGCCCCAAGCCTACTGAGCCTACTTGTACACACGATGTCGACTAAGCCATGCAAGCCCAGAAGCTTGTAACCAAGGACCAAGCGAGAGTCAGGAGGGCAAAGAAGAGAATGCAGGTCCTGAAGTTGTCGGTGGTACGGTCCATCTGCTGATGCATGATGCTGCCTGCATCCGGCTACTACACTTATCGCTCCAAAAGAGGCATCGCAAGAAAACTGCTGTCTCAACAGCTGCCGTGCTCACCCATCACGGTCACTAATGTCGAAATAAACATCAGATCTCAGCTTGATTCTGATTTCGGCTTTATGTATGTCATGTTGCCCACTAGCCACCTATGAAGGATGGCTGCTAAGTATGATGTTGATGGAAACCAACACCAACAGGCCAGGTAGCACCATGGCTACAACTCAAACGCTTACGACTATTATTACTACCACTCTTTCCTTGCCACACTGGCACTGATGGAACCAGTCTCAAAAGAAGGAAAGTGGAGGAACGTGTGAGGATAACGTTGATGCGTGGATTCAGGGTTTAGGGATTTAGGGTTTAGGGTTTAGGGTTTGGGGTTTAGGGTTTAGGGTTTAGGGTTTGGGGTTTAGGGTTTAGGAGTTGAGGCTGGTCATGCAGCAGCTGCCGCCACCACGCGGGGAACACTTTTGAGGCTGCGTCTTTGCCATTCTTTCAGCCGTGTCAAGTTAGTCTGGGCCTTCAAACCCAGGCAAGCTGCAGCAGTAGCTGCAAATTGCGGGCTTCTGGTTTTGAAAAGTTTCCAACTTCGAGCCCAACGGCTCCAGTTCTCAAAGTCGAACATCTCTATTAGAAGTAACATATTTCAAGCACACTACATATATCGTACGGCACCATACGACCCACCTGCAAAGCCCAAAAATCTCCAACCCCGCGAGCTCTCCTCACCATGCTGACGTCTCTCTTGGCGACGGTGTTCCAAAACATGTTCTCCCACCTGCGTGAAGTCAATGCATCTCGAGTACACGGAAGTACGTCAACAAGTAGTCCTAAACCCGAAAGCCTCAAACCCCATGGCCCCGAAAGTCTGCAAGTATCTGTCTGTAGAGATCCGCAGCGTCCTTCTCTAAATTATATGGGGTCTGTTTTTGGGTCCTGTATATAGTACGGCACCTGAAATTAAGGACCCCGAAACTTTAATTCACAGAACTACCCTAAACCCTAAACCCTAAACCCTAAGCCCTAAGCCCTAAACCCTAAACGCTGAAGATGGAGCGCCTTCAAAGGACTTCTAGGGCAAGGCTGGTGGCTCATAAGCAGGTTGTTAGGCCACTTGCGTCAAAAAACTAAGGGTTTAGGGTTTAAGGTTTAGGGTTTCGGGTTAAGACCGACGGACATGCTGGGTTGCAAGAGCGAAAGCGAGCGACAGCCTTCGGAGTTGCATTCGCAGAGCTGAAAAGTGAGCTGTCCCTTTTGAGTAGCTGAACGCAAAGTTCATCTGGGACAGGCATGATTTAGATCCAGATTCGAATAATGTGATGGCTTCTGCCCTGCCAGGTCGTCTGACTAGAACAGCTTTTGGAGAAAAGTTGGAACAGACTTCAGCGCTTCGAAAAACCCGCTAACTATGCAGGAAGCAAAACCCAACGTGGAACATCACAAGGTGCAAAAAACTGACTGACGAATGCAGGGTGGGGCATGTAGTGTGGATCTGGGGTGATTGGAGGGGCATTCTGCGATGGAGATTCTGGCACGCGGCTTGAGGTTACCAACTCCCCCCCCCTCCCCCCCCTCCCCCCCTCCCCACCCCTACCCCCTCCCCTCCTCCCCCCCCCCCCTCCCCACCCCTCCCCCCCCCCCCCCCCCACCCCTCCCCCCCCCCCCCTGACGTGGCTTGCAAGAGCAGCGGCTCAAGGCAAGGGGCCCCAGACCCTGAGACCGAAACACAGCCCTTCCGCGCAATCTTTCGCGAGACCTAAACCCTTGACCCGGTTAGGGTTTAGGGTTTATGGCTTCGGGTTTAGGGTTTTTGGGTTTTGGGTTTTGGGTTTAGGGTTTCCAGCACTAGCTTGTCATTGCGAAGGAGACTCCCTGAACTTCGTATGTCCAAGGCGCTCATTGTGGAGGTATTCCAGGCCGATGATGCTGAAGAGCAGCAACGGGGCAGCAGCCAAGTAAGCGCAGCCCCGTGCATCCAAGCTTCGGACAAAGTCCGCGCATTTGCCTCTGTTTTAGGCTGCTACTGGGCTTAGGGTTTGGGGTTTAGGGCTTATGGTTTAGGGTTCAGGGTTTAGGGTTGAGGGTTTGGGTCTAGGGTTTAGGGTTTAGGGTTTAGGGTTTAGGGTTTAGGGTTTAGGGTTTAGGGTTTAGGGTTTAGGGTTTAAGGTTTAGGGTTTAGGGTTTAGGGGGTTTAGGGTTTAGGGTTTAGGGTTTAGGGTTTAGGGTTTAGGGTTTAGGGTTTAGGGTTTAGGGTTTAGGGTTTAGGGTTTAGGGTTTAGGGTTTAGGGTTTAGGGTTTAGGGTTTAGGGCTCCAAAGTCTGGGCTGCGTGGAGGACTACTGCAACGCACGGCCTAGTAAGGAAGGCGCAAATTTAAAGGTTCTGATACCGCCTTGGCGCTCTGCACCGAAATTCGAAACTTGCAACCACTTGCTAGACACACGGAATACAACCCTAAACCCTAACCCCTAAAGTCTTATCTGCTCCAGGAGGAGGAAATACGAGGCAACCCTCAAAAGTGGGCACGCCGTAACTGATGACGTTAAGAGCCTCCCACGACACGGAAGACTTAGGGCTCGGGCTCCACACCCTCAACCCTAAACCCTAAACCCTAAACCCTAACCCTAAACCCTAAACCCTAAACCCTAAACCCTGAATGAACCCTAAAACCGAATGCTTTGTGAGCTTCAGTCTAAGGCCTCGGGGTCTTCACCTTTGGTGCGCAGGTCGCAATTTACCGGCCGCAAGGATTCTTGAGGCTTGGTGCTTCTATGGGGTTTAGGGTTTAGGGTTTACGGTTTACGGTTTAGGGTTAGGGTTTAGGGTTTAAGGTTTGGGGTTTAGGGTTTAGGGTTTAGGGTTTAGGGTTTAGGCTCTAGGGCTTAGGAGTGTTGAGATTAAGGGCTGGCTTTGAAGGGGTTCGAAAACCTCCAGCATGGTGCAACTCCGGCTTGCCTGCCAGCCCGTCACAGACATGAAGTAAGGACAGCTCCTCGCTGCCTTGGCTCATCCCCCACACACCCCCTCAAAAAGATAACAAAGCACACACTACCCGTAAGTTTCCTCCCCCCCGTACATGTTCCCAAGTGGATTGGGACCCCCGACCCCCTTGGCAAAAAAAAGAGAAGCCAGAGCAATTGCCAAAGACACTGCCGAGTTTCGCTTCGTGACCCTCACCTGGCTTCAGAGGGCGATGGCATCACTGAAAGCTTCAGACTTCAAACCCTTAGCTGGGCACCTTTTTTGGGAAAAACAGGGCCCTTATCATAAAGGGGCTCACAACGCAATAGTCAGAACAAGAATGACCCGTTGGCTGTTAATTAGTAGGGAATGACGGAAATTAAGCACCCGATATCCCCCTATATGCACCCTTTCAGGGATTTCAGAGGGCTTAGGTTTCGGGTTTAGGGTTTAGGGTAACCCTGAATCCTAAACCTTCAACCCGAAACCCTAAACCCTGAACCCTGAGAATGGCAGGGCTGGACTGCCTGCTTGCCGTCGACCTCCACGCCCAGCCATGAGGCCACGAGCGTGTCAAGGAGGAGCAGGAACAACCTCCGGGAGTTTGGGTTTCCGCAGGGGGGCTTAAGGGGTTAAGGGTTTACGGGTTTGAGAGCTATGAGGGTCTTAAGGGTGTTATGCGAGTAAGGGTTTAGGGCTTAGGGCTTAGGGTCCAGGGGTTTAAGAGCTCAAGGTTTAAGGTGCACAGGGCTTGTTTCATCTGGTCCCTCCAAACCCGAATCCTTCATCCCTAAGCCTTAACCCTCACAGTCCCGATCCCAACCGGCTTAAGATCTGAAAGCCAAGACGCATCTCGACGCAGAGCACTACCGCCTTGGCTTTGAATGCAGCGTTCAGCTGTGGATGTGCCGTGAAACAGGGGAGGGAGGGAGGTTGGTTGTTGCTGCTGCTGCTGCACTAGTTGTTGAGTTTGTTGCTGAT